CGAAGCTGGAAATCATCCAGGCGCAGTCCGAGTGGAAGCAGTAGGGCCCCAAGGCCACGCGCGTCAGATACATGAGGAGGGCGAAGGCCTCCGCAAGATCTGACGCCTGGCGCAGCCCTGGGAGCGGGCCGCAAAGGGAGGCGGCCAGGCATCCTTGCCCGTCCACTTGGACAACCGACCAGCCCGCTCTACTGAGTCGGGGGTCCCCCTGCACTGGCGAGGTACAGGAGCCGTCACCGAAGGCCTCGCCTTCGATGCTACCAGAGCCAGGCCGCTTGAGCCACTGGACGAGGAGGGAGGGCGCAGGGCGAGGGACGGAGGGGCGAGGGTCGGGGACCAGGGCATGCCTCCTGAGGGCCCAAGCCGAGTGCACCCCGAGGTCCAGCCTCAGGGGAGGGGGGAGGCCATACTCACGGACGAAGGCCCACGTCGCGGAGCACTGGCCAGTCACCCATGCCTCAGAAGTCCTCGGGCAGGATCCGATGCAACAAAGTGGGCACGCGTGGCTGCGCGCGAGGCCGCGGCGGGCTTTGCGGGCCTGGCCCCACGCGCCATTCGAGACAATCGCACGTAGAGTCGCCTGGTATCGAGCCGTCCACTCGGGGCCCGCCCTACCGATGCAGAGGCTACGGAGGGGGGGCAAGGTAGGGGCGGGCCTGGAGGCCAGACATGTACTCGGATCTCTGCTGGGCTCGATCTAGCAGCCAATCCCCCGTCCTCAGACGCGCGAGGTGCAGCGCAGATCTCGGGCAGACCGCGGTGAGATCAACCTTGAGGCCCTCGCTGGTATCAGACCCCAGGGCCCAGCTTCCAGCCGACGCGCCCACAACTGACCAGGGCCGCCGAAATCCGCGGACGAGGGCCCATTCATTATTTACACTTGCGGGCCGAGCCAGGGTGGCCTCGGAGGCAAAAACAAAACTCGTGCTATCCACTCTCGAGGCAGCCACGACTCCCAGACAGCCTGAGCGAGCAAGTGGATCGGACTCACCGCGCAGGCGCACGCAGGGTCGACCAACCTAGGCGCCGAGGGAGCGAGGTGGAGGTCGAGGGCGAGGGAGCGACGAGCGGTCCGAACGAAGAGGGCGGCATGCGCAGCTCGGCGCATCGGCTCGACCCCACCCCGCGCCCCCCCCCCCGCAACACCGCCCCCCCAGGTACCAGCAGGCGCGAGACAGAGAGACGAGCTGCTGCGTTTTGCCTCTAGCGGCACGCAGCACGCGGATGCGCGCCGAGTGCCTGATCACGGCGGCCACACGCTTGCCCCGCGCGGCCGCGTCAGGCCGCCGCCCGCAGCCGTAGTCCACGCCCAAGTTCCTCGCCGACTTGCGGCCCCAGCCGCGGAGCGCCGCGCAGCGCCTCTGGACCTCGTGGCTGCACTCGGCGGAGTTGGCCAGGACCGCGCCCTTGCCATCGTTCACGACGAGGCCATCCGCCAGGACCCCCATGTGGAGCAGCTCGTAGGCGCCGCTGACCTGCGCGGCCACGCGCCTTGCCATGCCCGTCTGGGCTAGCTGGACGTCGTCGACGACGTTGCCGACCCGCGCCGCGCCCAGCTCCACGATCGCGCCCAGCCTCGGCAGCGGGAACATGCGCATGCACGGGTCCGCGAAACTGCACGCTGCCACGACGCCGAGCCGGGGTGCACAGGCTTCTGCGGCCACCCCCTGGTGGCAGACGATGCGCGGCATCGCGTACATCTGGAGCAGGACCCGCAGCAGGTGCACGTTGAAGCCGAAATCCTCGGCCCGCTTGGCCAGCAGCGCCCACGGGATGTGATCGTAGGCCTTAGACAGGCCCATGAGCACGGTGCGCGCCGCCTGGCCGCGGTGAGTCGCCACCTCAGCCGTGGCGGCCTGGATCCAGACGCAGGTCTCGCAGCTCAGACCTGCCGCGCCGTTGATGAAGTCCCGACGGTGCAGAGAGGCCCAGCTGGAGCTCGCGGTGTTCCTCGTCCACTGGGCGAACGGCCGCAGGACACCTGGAACCAGTCCGATGGCGCGAACTCCTCCTTCAGGCTTGGGCAGGAGGACCATCTGCATCGCTGCCGGGGCCTTCGGCACGTGCCCCAGCTCGAGCACGCGCCGCCAGAGCTCGACGCAGGCCTCGAGCGCCTCGTCGCACAGCACGGCGACGTGGCGCGGGTGGAAGGCGTCGCAGCCCAAGCCCGTGACGCGGGGGAAGGAGTGCCCGACTTGGCGCAGCTCCTCGACGCTCGGCAGACGTGGGAGGTCGCCCATGTCCAGGGGCCAGGCGACCGCCGCACGTCCGCCGCCTTCTCCCCACAGCGCGCGCCACGGGCGCGCCGCCGCCTCTGCCACCAGCTGCGCCGACTGGAGGCCCGCAGAAGGTTGCCAGCGGTCGGCAGCCCAAGGCCCCTCTTCGCGGATCCAGCGGAAGCCTTTTTCCGCACGCCGTCGCCGACGGTGGCTTCGCGGGACCACTCCAGCCAGGCCTTGTAGCGGCGGTAGGCCGAGCGGCCCTCGGCGGCGCCTGCCGCCCGCTGGAGGTCGCCCAGAAGCGCGCCCGCCGCGGGCTGCTCCAGGAAATTCAGCCCGCGGACGAGGCGGCGCCGCGACTGCCAGAGCATCGGGTCCGCGCCCGCCACGGGCGGCACGAAGCGGAGCAGCTTCACCTGGACGCGCTTGGCGCGCCGGTGGCTGCCCGACCGTCGGAGGACACGCCACTCGCGCGCGCGCTCGGCGAGCCAGCTCCAGTGCTGCTCAGCGGGGGCCGCCTTCGCGGTTGGCGCCCACTGCTGCCGCTGGCGATGGGGCTGCACCTTGACCAGGCGCGCTCCTTCGCCCCTGCCCCGATAGCGGTCCGCCTCACGGCCCTCTGCCAGGCCCGAAGTGCTGGACCAGCTCGTCCTCCTATCGGTCCAGGACGCAACCGCAGGCGGCATCCAAGCCCGCTGCCGCCGTGACCGCCCGCAGGTCGGCGACCACGGCCTGCCACCCTGGCGGGGGGCAGCCGCGGCCCGATCAGCATCTTGGCGAGGAAGGCCTCCGGGCAACGCAGGCGGAGGGCCGTGGCACCAGGGGGGATGGCCAGTCTGAGCGCCACCGCCCTGTGGGTGCGGACCGAGAATCGGTCGCACCGACGCACGGCCTGGACCTCCGCCAGCTGGTCGACGCAGAAGAAATCGATCTCCCGCGCGGAGGTGGCCGCGACGCAGGCGGCGTGGCTGGAGCATGCCAGTCGCGCCCCAATGGACGGCAGCAGCTGCGCCTCCTCCAGCACAGTGGGCGCCATGTTTCAGTCCGCCCCCATGACGAAGGGCCTTCGCATGGTCCGCACCACCGAGCCCAAGTTCGTCAGCAGGTCCAGGTTGAGGTCGCTGAGGTCCTGGCTGGCGCGGAGGTACGCAGACGCCATCAGCGCACCCTCGCGGCCACCCACGGACGTCATCCAGAAGCCAAGGCGGGCGGAGCAGCGGACCGCGACGCGGTCGCCGGCGAATTCGGCCCGCTGAAGATGCACCCAAGGACGGACCAGGATGCCCACGCCTGCCGAGGTGCCGCCCTTCGCCGTGGCCACCGTTGGGATGAGGTATGTTGCCTAACCCAGACGGCGAGCAGCGCGACCAGCAGCAGCCAACTGGTGCTCTTCCTTCAGGTGGTGCTCCTGAAGGAGGACTACCTGGACGGAGCTGTCGACGTTGTCCTCCTCCAGCTGCGCGAGGCAAGAGGACCACTTCGTCACGTTGACTGTCAATCTCCATGATGGCGCCCTGGCGCCGCCCAGCTCGCCCATGGCGGGACCCTCGCCCACGCGCCTCTTGGCGGGGGGCCCGCGCGCCGCAGGGCCGTTCCCCAAGCTCCCCGCCACGGCCAGCGCAGCGCCCGCCAACAGCGCCAGGCGCAACGGGTGCCTCTGGCTGAGGAGCAGCGCGGGGTGGGGGAACCCGTCCAGGGGGAGGATTGACGTCGAGCCGATCTCGCCGAAGCGCTCCTCGGCGCCCCAGAGGTTGATCCACTCGGCCCGCGCCCGCACGTCGACGGAGGAGGCCCGCGCGCCGCGGAGCCGCTCCTTTGCCGCGCCGCCAGCGCCGCCCCAGCATGCAGCGCCATGTGCAACGCGAGCCTCTGGCCGACAGAGCTCTCGGGGCGTCGCGGAAAGCTCATCGCACGGCTCCGACGACTTCGCCTCGGCAAGAGCCGCTTTGGGGCGGGGGCCTCGCGAGTTCCTTTCGGAGCGCCCACCGCGGCCCCCGCCCCTCACGGATCGACCCGACAGCAGGCCGTCCACGCCGAGGGGCTCCGAGTAGCGCCAGAAAGACCACCTGGCGCGCTCTCGTCGCAGTCGCCACGCCCGCCGCGGCGAGGGGCCCGCGCGCCGCGGGGCCGCGCCTCAGCCAACCAGCCAGCGCCAGCGCCGAGCTCACCAACAGCGCCAGGAGCCCCATGTGCCTCTGGTTGGGGAGCAGCGCGGGGCGGAGGAATCAGTCTGCGTTGAGGCCGACGACGAGCGGTCCTCGCCGCAGAGCACCACGTCGCGCCAGGAGGCAAGCCACTTGGCGTGCACCCGCAGTCGTCGTGCACGTCGTGGTTGGGGGCAGCACCTCCAGCGCCGCCACAGCACGCAGCGCCACGTGCACCGCGCACCTCTGGCCGACGGCGGTCGCGAGGTGGGAGGGCAAGCACGTCGCGCGGCCCCGACGACCTCGCCTCGGCGAGAGCCGCTTCGGGGCGGTTGCTTCGCGAGTTCCTTTCGGAGCGCCCGCTGCGGCCCCCGCCCCTCACGGGTCGACCCTCGGCTCGGCCGCCGCCAACGCCACGCGCCCCCCGTGCCTCTGGCCGAGGCAGCTCGCGAGCGAGAGGGGCCAGTCCAGGTGGTGCCCGACGTAGAGCTGAACAGGCCGTAGTGCCACGCGCCGCCTTTGAAGTTGAAGCGCATGGACCGCACCCGCTTCGTTGGCCACCCCCGCCGTCGAGATTGGGGCCGGCGCCGCGGGGGGACAAGCCGCGAGGGGAAGGAGCCTGTCCAGTGGCGGCGTCTCATCTCGCGAGCTGCAGGCGGGCAAGCCCGCAGGTGTCTTCGTCGCCGTAGACGTAGTCATTGTCCTCGCAGCACCAAGTGGGCCTCTGCCACCTGCCGATGGTGTCCGACCCGCAGGCGGGGCCTGCAGCGCACTTGAGGTCATCCTTCGTGAACTTGCACTCCCAGTCGAGTACATGTAGTCCAGGGCCCGCAGGATGTGACCACGACTGTGCGCTGCGCCCCGCCCACGCAGGCGCCCCCGCCGAGTGCGCCCGCGCCGATGGGCGCTGCATTCGAGGGCCGCCTCAAAACCGTCGGAGCTTTGGCCCGCTGTTGTCGAGCCTGTGTCAAAGGCTCGACTGGTCCTCGTCCTCGCCCACGGAGACCGCCGCCGCCTTGCCAGCCGCGCCGCCGCGGCCGCCCTTGGGCGCGCGCCCCTTGCCAGCCGCAGCCTTGCTGGCCGCAGCGGCAGCCAGGCGCTGGCGGCCCGCCTCCAGCACCTCCGCCGCCACGGCCCCCGCTCCTGCGGCCCCTGCAGCGGCAACAGGAGCAGCGGGTGGAGCCGCCTGCGAGGCCTGGGCGCGGGGGCCCTGCTGGCCGCCAGCGGCAGCGGCGGCGGCAGGGGGCGCCGCGGCGGGGGCCGCTGCTGCAGCCGCGGGCGCTGCCGTTCCCTCAGCCGCTGGCTGCCCCGCTGCAGGTGCCGCCTCCTGCCGCGGGGGGGCCGAGGTGCGCCTTTTCTTGGACTTGAGGCGCTCCCGCAGCTTACGGTGCGCCTTCTCCAGCGCCTCGGCTTCGGCTCTGACATGGCCGAAGGCCTCCTGCGCCATGGCCGCGAATCGCGTCTGCAGCTCCTCGCGGCGCCGCTGGGCCTCCTGGCGGTCGCTCTCCTCGACCTCGTAGTCCCCCAGGGACTCCAGGCCGAAGAACCCTTCGTCGTCCAACGCCCAGGCCGCCTTGCCAGCAAGGATCGCCGCGACGCTGAGCTTGGGCACGTCGCCCTCGCGCGCAGGCGCCGCCGCTGGGGCAACTGTGCCCGCCAGGGCCTGCATCGCGCTCGTGTACACCGCCTGCGCGCTGTCCAGTTCGGCGGTGCACTTGGATACGCCCTCCGCGGCTTGGCCCAGGCGCAGCTGGAGTTCCCCCGCCTCCGCCAGGGCCTCGTCCAGGGCCGCCGCGGCAGCGTCCCTGGCAGCGCCCCTGGCAGCGCCCGCCTCGGCCACAGAGAGGGGCCTGGCCAGGCGCTGGGCGTGGAGGGCGTCCAGCTGCTGCCTGTACTTGGCCTCTGCTGGCTCGTCTCCCGACAAGCGGAGGAGCTCCACCAGCTGGGCCAGCTTGACCTCACGGTCCGCGTCGGGCTCCGAGGCCTGGGCCACGTCCACGATGCGGGCTCCTTGGCTGCCGCTGCGCTGGCGGCCTGCCGCCTCTGCGACCAGAGCGGCTGGCCGCCCGCGCGGCGTTCCGCCGCGCCCGCCGACGGCGTCCTGGCGCCAGAGCGGTTCGCGGGCGCCGCTGCGATCCCTGCCGGTGGATCGGCGGCGGCCAGCAGCGCCGCGAGCAGCAGCAACCCGCGCAGGCACCAGCTGCAGCGGGCGCCTGCAGTGGCAGCACCATGTCCGCCATGCCTCGTTATTTCGGCACCCGCAGTGGGCGCACGCGTGGCCGCCGCGGCCGTTGGCGGCGCCGCTCGCGGCCGCCATGCCGCCCCCGCCGTCGCCCGCCTGGCGCGCAGGGGCCGGCGCCGCCGAGCCGTGGTGGCCGTCCAGGAGCGCCGCTGCGGCCACCAGGCGGCCGCGCTGGCGGGGGATGGCGAGCGCCGCCACGCGCGCAGCAGCGCCCTGGCCGCGGCGCGCTTGCGACGGAGGCGCCGATGCCACGCCGCCTCGGAGGGCAACGCGATGGTCCCCGCCCGAGGGGAGCCCGCGGCGGCCTGTCCGCCCCCAGGCCTTCGGGCAGAAACTGGAAACGGAGGAGGAGGAGGAGGAGGAGGAGGAGGAGGAGGAGAAAGAAGAGGCCTAGCAGGAGGAGCAGGAGGAGGAGGAGCCCGATAGCGAAGAGAAGGAAGAGGAGGAAGAGGAGGAAGAGGAGGAGGAGGAGGAGGAGGAGGAGGAAGAGGAGGAGAGGAGGAGGGAGGAGGAGGAGGAGGAGGAGGAGGAGGAGGAAGAAGAAGAAGAAGAGCGGGAGGAGTTGGAGTTAGAGGAGGAGGAGGAGGAGGAGGAGGAGGAGGAGGAGGAGGAGGAGGAGGAGGAAGAGAGTGAGCAGGCGGCCTTCGCGCTTTGCGCATGTTTGCGCGCACACGCGCGCTGCGCCGTGGGATGCTTGTTTCGGGGGGAGGTGAGCCAATCTCGAATGGCTTCAGTCAAATGGCCCCTCTTCACCTCGCTCAACATATGTATTCGCTCCTCCGCGTCATCCACATCACCATCATCATCAGCAGCAGCAGCATCATCATAATCCTCATCAACATCAGCATCATCATCAGCATCATCATCATCAACATCATCATCATCATCATCATCATCATCATCATCGCCATCGTCACCATCATCACCAGCATCATCACCATCATCAGCAGCAGCATCGTCATCGTCATCGTCATCGTGATTAGCAGCAGCAGCAGCAGCATTATCAGCATCAGCATTGCCATCATCATCATCGTCATTGTCATCGTCATCAGCTTCATCTTCACGATCTTCATCTTCATCTTTATCTGCATCTTCATCACCATCCGTCACCCAACATCCATCATACATCACCCATCATCCACCGTCGTCATCGTCATCGTCACCACCACCACCATCATCGTCACCGTCATCACGTTTCATCCGCATCAACGACAGAAGCAAGCATCTTAAGACTGGTCGCTCCTTGCTCGCGTGCCATTGAACACGTATATCCGAAACCCTCGGTACCCGCCCTCTTCGTTATCGATCGTACCCCCATTGGGTGTGTACCTTCCTTACCTGCCACGTGCACTTAGCACAGCCTAACAAATAGGGGAAGAGAAAACGGATGGAAGGGGGAGGGAGAAGGATGGAGCACGAGGATTAGCAGGAGGGGGGCTAGGAGAAGGAAACGCGCGGCAGAACCAGACGGACAGATCGGTTGGGCAGACCCTAGCGGTCGGGTCCAGAAGGCGGGCCCAGGCGCCCAGGTCGAGCGGGCGGGTTGCTGAAGCGTGAGCCATGCATGAACCGTCAGAAAGTCCTGGGCGAGAGCGCGCTTCCGAAGTAAATCGCAAGGAAGCCCAAAGCGAGAGCCTGATTCCTGAGTGTCGAGGCGCGGCGTCTGAATGAATTGCCAGGAAACCCAAAGCGGGAGCGCGATTCCTGAGTACATGTCAAGGAAGTCTCTAGCGAAAGCGCGATTTTCCCAACAAAACATGTGAAGATGTATCAAGCGAGAGCCGTTTTTTTTTGTTGTAGTTCGTGGGCCAACATCGCAGTTAGGTGGCACCACACTGTTTTATACAGAACAGGGTGCGAGCCTAAGGAGTGGCACTTCAATTGAAACATGCAATAGTTACCAGAGGGGGACCAACAACAAATATTGTTCCAAAATGAGAGTTTAACAACATCACAAACATCAACATCAGCATCCTCATCACCGCCACCATCATCATCATCACCACCATCACCACCACCGTCATCATCATCATCATCATCATCATCATCATCATCATCATCATCATCATCATCATCATCATCATCATCATCATCATCGCCATCACCACCACCATCAGCAGCATCATCTGCTGCTGCATCATCAGTATGATGATCATGCTCTTACCCACTGGTCCACATAGTATCTGCCTGGTTGCCCCCGAAGGCACGGGCCCTTCGACATACTGATCGGCTTCTCGCAGGGCGCCTCCGTTGTCACACTGGTCAGCTCCCGCCGACGAAGCTTGGGCCCCCCATCCCCCGCCGCAGTTCTTGCGCGTCGCCCCTTTCTTGGCTGCGGCAGGTGTGCGCCACGTTGACGCGGCGGCGACCACAGCGTGGGCGTTCAAGGTTGAATGCCGCCAGTGGCCCAGAATTGGCCGATGCTGAACGACCTGCGGTATCGAGAAGCCACGGCCATTCAAGGCCGAACGATCTTCACGCTGCCAGGAATCAGGGGCCAAGGGGCGTGTGTTGCTGGGACTGGTGAGCAGAGAACGCATGCGGAAGTAGGAGAGCAGGAGTCAACCTAAACGGTGTTTTGGCGGTTTCGCGGGCCGTTTTCGTTCCGATTCCGTTTGGCAGCAGAGGCGGATTGAAGACAAGACGAGGGGAGACGAAAGCAAAACGAAAACGGAAAGCACCGTTCGGGTCGGTCCCTGTTGCTGCGGCCTGCGGAGCGGACAGCGAGCACGCGTGGGGAGGAGAGCAGGCGGCAGATCTGGGGGGGGCCCGCGCAGCGCTGGAAGTGCACGCACGCAGGCGATGCTCTCGGAGGTCCCAGCACGTCCCGACGTCCCACGGCTCCTCCTCCTCCTCCTCCTCCTCCTCGTCCTCATCCTCGTCCTCGTCCTCGTCCTCGTCCTCGTCCTCGGCCTCCTCCTCGTCCTCGTCCTCGTCCTCGTCCCGAGTCGTCTCTTGACGCTCCCGAAGTCTGGCGAGGGCCCCCCGAGGCCGAAATCGGCCCAAGAAACTCCCGTCGTGTGTTTTTTTCACGGCGCGAGCATGTTGGGTTTTTTTTCCCTCTCGGCAAGGCTGTGCTCCGACCCCCACCATTCTGGTTGACCCAACAGGGGGTCCAGCGACGAGGGGGTGGTGCAATACATTTGGGGGTTGCCATAGATTTGGGGCGTGCAGTATATTTCGGTGCACAAATGTACTGCTTAATTTCCGCGCGCAATGCATTAGCTGCAACGCATTCGCAGTACATTTCTCCGTCGCCGTACATGTGCAATACGATTGCCCCAAACCTAATTGCACCACCCCCTTTCAGCTGAAACCCCTTTTTGGGTCAACCAAAACCACGGGGAGGCCCCGAGCCTCGCCGGCGGCGCCCGGCGCGGCCCTCGAGGGCGCAGCCGCGGGCCCCGCGGGCGCGGCCGCGGGCCGCGGCGCGTCGGCGGGCCTGCGCGGCGTGCCGCTGCCGGCCCTCGTCGTGTGCGTCTGCGGGGTGCCGCCGCAGGTCGGGACGCTCGAAGCGGGCAGGCCAAGGATCCAGACATGCTCGCGTTTTTCATTGCATACAAAGCAAAACAACAAGCAACAACAAGCACAAACAAAAAAAAAAC